CTAATATTACGACTACTTATACTACTAGTTTAGTTTAGTAATACTAATTACTTATTAGTAATAAGTAATTAAATTAAAATATTAGTAATAACAAAGTAAGTATATAGTGTCAATATTGTATTACAAAACAAAGATATATAAATGTTCAAAATTTATTTAATATAATTATAAAAGAAAAAATTTTATATAAGAATCCAACCTTATAATGTAGAACTGCAGATGCACTTCAAAAATCCATTGGAAAAAGTAGTTTTAATGTTGACAAACCATTTGATTGATCATCTTGACATCGAGATGTGTGACCATGAAAAATAAAAAGATTTTAAGTCTTAGAAATAGTGCATTTTACAATATATTATCAATACTGTCCATTTCAAGATTTTCATATGTTTATAGATCTACTTGATTTTAACCATTTTTAAAATTTAAAATTTTATAATTAAATATAAAAATAGATTTTGAAATAATCTTAAGAACATTTTACGTCAAAATTATGTACCATGATAAAATTTGAAAGTGCACCTTACCTCTACAGCTACGGATGCATCTGTATGCCAACTGCACCATTATAAAATGGTCTATAGCTTGAGCACCCTATCGTAACCCAAAGATTAAAGATGGTATATTCATAGACACTCTTTTTAAAAAACCTTTTTTTTTTTGTTTTTTGTTTTGGGAAGGGGGACGGGGGAGAACAAGTATGAATACAAATTTCACTCAAATTAAGTGAGACATCAATGCTATCACATTTAGGTGCCATAAAATGATGTACAAATTCATCCCAAGTTAATATAAAAAAGGGAAATTTACATGAACTTTTGCTTTATTTTTAATTTTAGAAGTAGTCACATTCAATACATAAGCCACAGTTCTTGAAAGCACATAATTCAGTTATGTCTTCTTCTTCTTCAATTTTTTTATTTTTTTATTCTTTAATAGGTCCAATTAAACTTATATTTGATATATTATCTTTCTCACCACAAAAGTAATTAAAAAATAAATAAAATCAAGGTTTAAAAAAAAAAAAAAGGATCGGTGAGGTAGATCATGCATCTGGATTTTCGATCTGATTCGACAGATTGGTGATATGGATTTCCAAACTAGTCATTACAAATTACAAATTGGAAAAAGAAAAAATAAGGCCAGTTTTGACCAATTCCTTGATAGAATCAACCAGTTCTGTTAGAGAATATATCAGATCCGGCTGCCATGTAGGGAAACATGCTGATTTCGAATATTTCATGAGAACTGGTTGCTGTTGATGACACTTGACCTAGATAGGCCAATTTTGATCCCAATCGACATTTGATCCTAAAAATGGTCGATACTTAGTTATTTAGAGTATTCAGGAATATTCTTAGGGCTGGACCACAGTTTGGGATGTGGACTACATTTTGGTGGTCCAATAGTGTACAAAGCTAGTATGGTCTCTAAGGTGTTAGAACTTTGAAATAAACTCCAGAGGGAGTGTCTTGCTCCTATTTAACGTTCTCTACCATTCAAGGAATATGTGAGTAGCAAAGAAATATGCATTTGAGGCAGGTGGAAGTTTGAATATTTAGAACCAAAATGGTCATGACATGGGTGTACCGTCAGGGTAGTCGGAATGTCAACTGCTATCCTACTTACAATTTCGCGACCTAGGTATCTTATCTAGGGTTTGCAATCAAAGTATTTTTCAGATGTTTTTGTTAAACATGTCGTGTTTGCTGCATGGGTCTCACCATGCCATTGATTCTAGGTTTTAGAGTATGAAATGAAAGATGAAACCGAATTCAGCATTCACCCTAAAGTTCCTTAACCCTCTTCGGCACCTAAGGTTCCCCTAAGGCTAGAGGTTCGAGTTTGGGATTTCTTAAGGGTCTCTAATTTATTTCGTAGACCCCCAATTTTGAAATTGGCAACTTTTTTTTTATGTTCTTGAACCCTAGGAACCAAAACAACCTAGTGAACCCCAGGGACCACAACAACCTAATACACCCTAGGGACCACAACATCTTAGTAGACCCTAGTCACTTTTTTGGACTTATAACCCAAAAAACACTCCAGATAGAGCCATGAGCTTAATAAAATAAAAAACCAACCTGGACACCGATCAGACACCTTGAGGCTTAGAACCGATACCAAAAATATCCTATTGCTCTAGACCCCTCAAATTTTGTCCAAAGTGGGCCAATTTTGATTATAAATTAAAGTGGAGATCAAGATCTTTTCAACGGCCTAAGTATTTCCTGAAACCGATATGCAATTTGAAATATATGGCCCGAACAAATTTGTTTACGAAAAAATCCATCCAGGTCTGGACGACTCAGTTTGTATTGTCCAAAAACAGTTCTAGACAACACGAATTGTGTCATCCACACAAAAATGACAACAAACAACACGAAGCGTGTCCTCTATATGTTTTAAGCATTTTTTGATAAAAAATTTGAGATAAACACGATGGATAAGCATAAAAAATATGTAGATACCATTTTGGAAGCCCAAAAAGAACTGAAAATCGACCATTTGAGATGTATAAGATTCTAAGGGAGAAACGGATTTAGGAGAGAGATAAAACTTAGAAACCCAAGCTAACCTCAATTTTAAGTGAGAGAAAACCCTAAGTTCGATAAATTGTAGTTTAGAAAAACCCTAAACCTTACTCCCATGCCTAATCCTTCAACCCTAGAAACCTAGGAGCTTAAACCCTAATCTTAGATTTAGGCCAACCCTAAAACCCAATATCAAAATTTAATATTTCTTTGTAAAATTTCACTCAATTTCTAAGGTCATAAAAGAAGGAAATGTCGTAAACGACCTGTGGTCTTGATATGGGTTCATGTTTTGGGTTTCTCGTGCCAATTGGCCCAAGTAGGTACGTACTTCATTATTCTTTCTCTTTAGGGTGTGGTTGTTTCTATAAGGTTGCAACATTAAACAATCCAATTAAGGAGCACTTCCAAATTTTATAATAGCATGTAATTTTGATATAAAAAATTCTTAGGATTATCTGAAATCTATTTTTATCTCTAATTATAAAATTTTAAAATCCAAAAATGGCTAAAATCAAGTAGATTTATAACCATATGAAAATTTTGAAAATGGACGGTCTAGATAATGTGTTGCAAGATGTATTATTTATGAGACTCAAAATCATTAAATTTTTTTTCATATTTATACATCTTGATGTTGAGATGATCAATTAGAGGGTTTTTCAACATTAAAACACCATTTTTTGATGGAATTTTTTGGTGCATCTTTAATTCTACAGTTTAAGGTTGCAACCTTATATAAACTTTTTTCTTCTCTTTATATTCACTTCATCATTTTTTCCTCCTCTTTATATTCAGTTTATCTTTATATCCATTTACAGTAGTTATGAAAGTGTTTTTGGCATAGAAGATCAGCTGACGCTGCCAGCAATATGAAGAAACCAATCTATCAAGATCAATTTTTCTTCTACAGATTATAATTTGACCGACACTACAATTTCTACTGATCTTCATATTTTAACTAGTTTGGAGCTCAGATCAAATAAGATCTTTCCATCGGAAACTCTCTCGGATTTGACTGTAAAAGTTTGGCACCCACCGTAGGGTGTCGAGCTAATTTTTGCAAAAAAAATACTTCTTTTTCTTCCTTTTTTTTTCTTCG